TGCTTGTGCTTCTATGCCTTTTTTATAGCAAATGTACTCTTTTTACTTGCTTCATTGCTTCTTTACTTTTGTTTACAATATAATACTAAAGAGGTTAGGCCTCCTTCCAGTGAAAACAAATATTCATGGTTTGAAGGTGTTACTGTTTTCATATTCTTTTATTCACACTGGTGTAGCGTTATCAGTTGCTTTATATTTGCCAAAATAATGTATGGGATTCAGAATAAAATTATAGTAGCAGGGGATGACATTTCCAGTGACAATTTTGATGATTTGATAAAAAAAGATGAGCAACTTATTAAAAGTGCAACAAAAACTCTTAATTATTTCCAGTTATGGTTCTTCATTCATTGGGTGTTCTACATCATCACTTCATTCCTAATGATTGCTCTCTCCATTGAAGCCATTCTGTTACTTATCAGAGCAACACAAGCTCACAATCAACCTGGAGTCCATTTTAGTGATGGAGAAATTTGCCTACTTGTCCTTCTTTCCATTTCAAATGTTTTAATGTTTATTTATCCTTGTTTCCGTGCAGCTGGCATCACAAGAGCAAGAAAGAAATATATACAAAATATCATAAAGAAGTACTCGAAAACTGAAAAAGGATACAATAATGCTATCAAGTTATATGTCAAGCATCTAAAGAGCCAGGACTTTGGATTTAGGTTAAACATTGGTTGTACCCACATTCCTTTTAATCTCAATGTAGCATACACTTCAATATTAATTGGAGCTTTTGGTATTGTATTAAGTATACTGACATCTGTTGCTACATAAACTATGCTTTGTCAAATTAGTCTTTTCTTGCTGCTCAGACTTAAATTTATTTTATTAATGCTGATCTTTAGTTTATAATATAACTTTTTTGATTGCTGATTATGATTATTTCTAACTTTTTGCTGATTTTTGTTTTAATTTCAATGATTAATATTATTTTAACAAACCTTTTATGATTATTGGTGATTGATTCCATCAGAGATGCAGTGAGTGGTTGTATCCAGTGATACTGTATTGGTACAGTACGTGAGAGACTGAGATGTAGTTCAGACTGGAACGGTATCACATCTTGTAAAGACTTCTTTAAGAAAGACTCTATTACATTGTTGAACCCATCAGAAAATGTAACTAAAAATAGTAACAAGAATCATCAGTTAAAAATATTAAAAATTGATACTACCTTGACATAAACTAAATTTCATTATTATTAATATTCTAACTTGGTATGTATACGTATGTAGGCCAATTCCCTCTAACGTGAGCAAATGATCTTTTCCTTCCATCATGATCTTCAGCTACATCAATATGATCACCTATATCATGTGATGTATCCAGTATATACTAGCAATATGAATTAAACCTTCACTGAACATGTTAGCAATGGCACCAGGTAACTCTAAAGGTTTGGAAGAACTAGTAAAAATAATTAATAATACAAAATAATAATAATTGATTGATTCCTGGGTACTTTTCTTTATATTTCTTAATTACTGGTGGAGTTTCTTCACTGCCTGAGCTGTCACTAGATGAAGAATAGCTAACCAAATGCAATGATCTATTGTCAGCC